CCCGGAGTTTTTTTACGAGATCAGTCGGATGGAGATCATGAGTGATGACGTGTTTTTTCCGAAAATTGGGAAAAAAATTTCGTCTCGAACACAAATTTTCCCAATTTCTATTAGCAATTTTTTTATTTTTGCTTTCGAATGGAAACTTTTTTATCGTTCAAATTCAAATTTCGCATTTTTTGTGGTAGATCAATCCATTATGATCCCAAAAATGCAATTGTATTTGTATGTAACAAAGTTTTTCTTCAAATGGAGATATTGTTGATCCCTATCCATCGCCATTAATTAAAATTTAATTCAGTAGCAAAGTGGTCAAACGGTTTAAGTTGACTTAGCTGAGTTTTTGAAGAATATCTCAAAATCTAAGGGAGATAGCGAAATTTTCGTACATATCTTTTTTGAAGCTCTTCATGTGCTCTGTCGAAAAGGTCATTACAAAAATTTTGCTATCTGCCTTGGATTGAGCGATATTCATTGAAAACTCATCAGTAATCAAAATCGACTTAAACAGTTTGATCACTTCGCTACTGACTTCATATATTAATTTTTGGAATTTTTGATTTTTTGTAAAAAATCGTTTGTCTCATGATAACTAAAAAAATTTTCTAAATTCATTGAAGGGCTCAAAAAAATTGGCGACAGTAATAATCATTGTTTTGATTTATAGAATAATTTTCAAAAATTTCGTATTTTTTGAAAATGAGAATTCCGGGGATATCGTTGGATGTTTTACTGCCACCCTGTCGAAGTTGGAAGATCATTAAAAAAGCTGTATCCGTTGGTTTGATTTTTATAATGATTTTTGCAAATTTCGAATTTTCCTGAAAGTGAATTTTCCGACGGTTTTCTCAAATATGATATTTCAAATTCATTCAATTACGCACGAAAAACCTTTTTCGAATACCAGTTATCGATGTTTCAAGATAATAGAGATAGCATCGTTCTTTCATTTGATTCATACAAGAAATTTCACAAAAAATATAACACAATTGAACAAAATAATATAAAATGCTAAATGATACACAACAGAAGACAATAATTTGCAAAAGCAATTTCCCCTTTGTTTTTCTTTTCACACAAAATAATTCTCCTCGGCACAATTTTCGTGATTTCGGATTTCCCCCGTCCATTTTCCGCCGAAAACAAAAAAAAAAAAAGAAAAAAACACACGTGTCTATTCGCGTACCTCGTTTTGCTCCAGTGAACTGGCTACGATGCGCTTCGATTCTCCCAGAAGCACGAGAAGATATGAACATTTGCAAGAGGGGGGATGAGACAAGAGTAGTACATCGAAGATTGGCTCGTCCGTCGAAATGGGCCATAGGTACGGTTCACTTATTTTCGTTTTCTTTTTTTTTAGAAGTAAATCCGTGTATGGCAGCCTGGAGACTGCTGGCTTATTGGAGAAAATCGGACGAGTTTAATTTCCGTGTTTTTTGGAAGAAGTTGAAGTGCCATTACATTCCGTTGCCCTCCAATAATCTCATCCCTGCCTCTTGACAAGTTTTTCCGCGAAGTTTGAATTATTTTTGCTATTTGATTCATTTGATTGGCGATTGGAGGTTCCTGTTTTCTTATGAAACATCTGTAGATTTCATGAATTGCTGGAGCTATTGAGGGTCGAATAATTTCAGACTCCAAAGGTTGGTAATTGATTATTCATTAATTAACAATATTTTGAAATTTTATGAGTGAAATAGAAATACTCATCAACTCGAAGTTGAAAGATTATTGCGATAGCTATATTGGTTGATTTGATTTTTATGATGATTGTTGAAAATTTAGAATTTTTCATAAATTTTCCTGTAAGTGACTTTCTGATGGTTTCTTCAAGTGTGATGTTTCAAATTCGTTCAAGTATCTCTATATTATAAAAATCCAAATCAACTTTTGGTGGTAAACATTTGATACTCGAAATTAAGACTGCGAAATTAAGGGTCATGAGGGCTAGAATCAGGGTTATTTTAGTTCAGAATAAGGGTCGCCAGGGTCAAAATAAGGGTCATGATGATCAGGCGACGGATCATAAGGGTCAGATTAAGGGTCATAATAAGGGTCCAAATAAGGGCAACAAGGGTTACATTAAGGGTCGCAAGATTAAGGGTCACAAGGGTCAGATTAAGGGTCACAAGTGTCAAAAACTAAGGGTCACCAGGGTTAAAATACGGGTCACGGGGGTCAGATTAAGGATCACAAGGCTCAGATTAAGGGTCATAATAAGGGTCCAAATAAGGGCAACAAGGTTCGCAAGATTAAGGGTCACAAGATTAAGGGTTACATGATTAAAGGTCATAAGGGTTATAATAATATAGTCTAAATAAGGGCAACAAGATTCACATTAAGGGTTGCAAGATTAAGGGTCAGATTAAGGGTCACAAGTGTCAAAAACTAAGGGTCACCAGGGTTAAAATACGGGTCACGGGGGTCAGATTAAGGATCACAAGGCTCAGATTAAGGGTCATAATAAGGGTCCAAATAAGGGCAACAAGGTTCGCAAGATTAAGGGTCACAAGATTAAGGGTTACATGATTAAAGGTCATAAGGGTTATAATAATATAGTCTAAATAAGGGCAACAAGATTCACATTAAGGGTTGCAAGATTAAGGGTCAGATTAAGGGTCACAAGTGTCAAAAACTAAGGGTCACCAGGGTTAAAATACGGGTCACGGGGGTCAGATTAAGGATCACAAGGCTCAGATTAAGGGTCATAATAAGGGTCCAAATAAGGGCAACAATGGTCAGATTAAATAAATTTCATAAGGATCAGAAAAAGGGTCACAAGGGTCAGAACCTAAGGGTCACCAGGATCAAAATAAGGGTCACGAGGATTGTAATAAGGATCAGATTAAGCATCTCGTCCGAATAAAAAAATTAGAAAACAAAATTCAGACAAGATAATTGGTACTTTCTCGTCCCATTCCAAAATGGCAATTCAATATCCTCCCTCAACTCCGCAAAGTCACACTACGTAAGATAGATCAACCGCTATCAAGACGAAGTGCCCGGTTATTTGTACTTGAGAAACATGAGACTTGAGTTTTCTCAGCACACAGAAACATTCGGTTTACGTTAGGAAATCCGGGTAAGTATCTAATGGGATGGGCTTGGAGTCTGATGAAGGAGCAGGAGTGGAATGGAAGGGGTGAGGGAGGGGAAGGGCAGGAGTATGGGGAAACGGGTGTTCGAGGGTAAAGCAAAGTCCTGGTGAATTCGCTTCGAAGGAGACAGGTGATTTACTCTGTTAGCAACGAACACGGGAGGGAGTGGGAAAGTAACCGCAGATACCGCACTGGAGCATCACACCTGTGCATACGGTAACCAAATGGGTGGATATGGAGAATAGTCTTGAAAGCTCAATGTTTCCAGTTGGTTCGCCAGCATCTTCTGCACACATCGTTCAACTGAGAGAAATCTGGATGTCTCGGGTGATGTCTGCGGTGGAGGAAGGATTCGATTTTGTTGGGTGGATTTACATGAGCGATGATTGCTATTGAGGTTAGGGACCAGTTTGCGACACGAGACGGGGCTTCACAGAAAATTTCCAGGTTAAGAACCTTCTGGATCCAAAATTCCCTAGATGAGCGGGACAGCTAGGCAATCCGAATCGGTTTCGAATCGGCATTTGAAGAGTCAACGAAAAGGAAAATGTTTAATTCGTGTGCGAGTCTCAGGTGAGTCCCAACGCCCTACATAACTCCAAGTGGGAAACTCCTGAATCAAAAATTCCCGGTTTCATTCTAGTAACTTCTTGCGTGTCTTAATCGGATAAGTTCCGGGGAATACCAGGCAGCTCGAGAAGCACTGGTTTTGCTTATAAGTTCATCAACGTTAATTGTCATAGGCTTCCCAACCAAATAGTTCACTTCGGTTTTAGTGGCAGCGGATGGAGTGAATTCTCATCGATTACGACGATTTCCAATTCTATCGAAAGTAATTGAACTTCAAAAATTGCTTCTTAGTTCATCAAAATAATATCTTGAATTGAGTGCCCTCATTCCCTCCTTCTTGATCTCATCGAACTCGTCTCCCCCGAGATATCCTCAACTCCTAACGCTAATGATCGTTAAGGAATGCAAAAAGATACGGGTATACTCCGACATCCGGCTGCTATCGCGGTCCAAAACGGAAACCAGAACCCCCGGAAGTTTCCACCCATCTCTCTCCAAAAACGATAACCGAAGGAGATGGAGGTGAAATTCGGAGATAAAGATGATTTGAGGGATTGAGGGTCTTCCAGATATTCACTGCCTAATGATTGGAAACCAATCGGCAAAGGCAAGACGTGTAAACTTCACACCGGACTTGAGACGTCATCTGCGGCGAGAGCGGAAGTTTATCTACGTGTCGTTCTCCCCTGCTTCACTGGTAACCGCAAATTCGTGGAACGTATATATATGTAGATAGAGGAGGAAGGAAGAGGGCTTCAGTTGGGTTACGGACCAGACCACACGATAAGGGAGATGTATCATTTGGTTGCGACGAGAATCAATGATGAGATGCATCATGATGACATCTCTTTCGTATTTCGGTTCAAACTTTTCGCTGATGGTTGTTGATGCTGTTACTGTTGTTGGTAAATGACCAATCATCTATCAGCATCTTCTAGACAACTAGAATATCTTTCATAAATGACGGATATTTCCGTTGAACCGTGAAGCATTAGCTAAGACCAAATTTCGAAATGCTTTCCTTCAGCAGCAAGACATCATACAATTACATCATTATTTGATAAAGACCGACGAAGGATATCTCGAGTAACATTCAAAGAGTACATCTAATCGCAACCAGACACTTCCAGACTTCTGGAAACTGCATCTCTACGCAGAAATCGTATCTAGAAGTCCATACCATGCAGGGTCCCCTTAAAAAACGGATGTGCATGTAGGCGGTTTTTCGTTCATCCACTTCAGAATGCATTTGACAATATATCTTATCATCGAAACCTTGGTAAATAAAACGTCACAGAAGACTTGAAATATGCATCACTCTTGCCTCAGATTTAGAAGCGTCTAGACGTGCACGGACAGCGCAACTGTATTCTTCAACGAGACTTGTCATCATAGTTCAGTCAGAGGAGGAATAAGAATAGCAAAGATGAGAGAATTTCTGTGAGTAGTTTTCTATTTTCATCAGCTAGATTCTAAAATTTCGTGATTGTAACAAGTATGATTCTAGGCTTGTTAACGGTTATTGCAAGGTTTATACTGATGGATCCTACTATCCTGATCTGCGTAAGGCGGGAATCGGTGTCTGGTTTAACGAAGATCATCCTGCGTAAGTACCCAAAGACTAATTTAGTGGAAGATTAGATCATTGTTAAGAACATGTTGAGATTAGTCACCAGCGAGATGATGAAGCAAAATAGAACAAAGCAGTTTTGAACATCTTGTGGTGTTCTTTTGCGATTCCAAAGCTAAAATCTTTTTGTCGTCATCATCATCACCTATCAAGTAAGGCAACGAACTTAATCACTGCACCAAGCCACTGGGCTGAATTTATAAATGAAATTCAGACAAGTTGGATGCGTTTACGCAGCTATCGCGAAACGTCAAAAGTCATTCCTCAGATCATTCAGCTTGATTCTTTTCAGAGATGCGAAAGCGGACAATCCATCGGGATGAAGCAAGCTGATGCTCTTGCTAGAAAAGCTGCTAGTACAAAGTAAAACTTGATTTGTAACATCATCAACCTGATCGTCATTACAACACGTGATGGTGATGATCACCATTGGAGATGCGTGTCACTATCTTAATCCCCTTTTTGAGAATATAAATGATGGAGTCACACTGCCGCAAACTCGTTCTGAACTCATTTGAAGCCGATTTCTCCCTACCCCAACAACAAGAACATTCCTCACTCCCCTTTCCTTCCCAACATTTAAAAGTAGTGAGCATTACTTCATACATCATATGACGTGCATGCTAAATTGCACATCAGAGACTGCAGGAAAAACGTATTCCCGCACTCCCAGTGGGTAAGTAATCTAAAGTTGCTGAGAATAAAAAAACGAAGCGAGGGAGAAAAAAGTTTAAGTGGACTGGTGAATCGGTGGTGCGCGGGGGGTTGGATGCTTTATCAAAGCTTTCGTTTCTTTTTTTTTCTCTTGCTTTCCTCCTTAGCCCGGAAAATTAATCACGCGACTCTGTGGACTCGTCAAGCGCACGCTGCCCCCATGATTGCCTTACTTTTGACCGAAAAAGGAAGAGGAGAAAATACTCACCCCAGTTTCTGCTCTTCTGGGGGGGAGAAACAGGTTGGTAATGAGGAAAATAAAAAATCGAGAGATCAATGAAAAATTGATTGGGATTGATGATAGCGATTATTTTTGCGGATTTGTTGACTCATGCGGGGTAGAATTGATTGAATACGTTAGGTGAATCTATTTGGTCTTTGGGTGGATTCACATGGTCGAGGTTTGTTCAGGTTAGGGGCCATTTTGGGATACCAAGTGACACGAGATGGGGGCTCACGGGAGATTTCTAGGTTGCGAATCTGCTGGATCCAAAATTCCCTAGATGCGCGGGAAAGCTGGGTGACTCGAGTCGGTTTCGAATCGGCATTCGAAGAGTCAACATCGGAAAGGAAAATGGTAGAGAGAAAAGTATTAAAAAGTGTTTAGTAGTGATCAGTGACGAAAATGAGAGAAATATGTATGTTTAATTCGTGTGCGAGTCTCACATGAGTCCTAACGCTCTACCTAACTTCAAGTGGGAAACTTATGGATCAAAAATTCTCCATTTCATTCTAGTAACTTCTGGGGTATTTTATTTGGGTAACTACTGGGGAATACCAGGCACCTCGAATCAATGTTCATTATCATGGGCCTGCTAACCAAATAGTTCCCTTGGGTTTTAGTGGTGGGGGATGTGGATGTAGTAGGAAATAGATAGAGTGGGGATATATTCTAGAGTGAACTCTTCCATCTCGATGGAACTACATGTACTCATATACTTATTTGAAAAGCGCGAAAATTCATGAATTTCTGGACCACATCGTACGTTTCCCTTGGAGGGGAGATTTTTCCTCATAAGTCCGTTTACCCCAACACCCCTCTTTTTATTTACGGTCACAAGTCACGCGCCCGGTATAAAAAAATACTGCAACTCGAGGGGTGGATAAATAAAAGAAAGGAAGGATGATCACGGAGTGCTTTGCACATTTCTGGAAGTATTTCGTGAACTATCCATTCGAAGGGGAGATGGCGAAAATGGTGCGAATGAATATTTTCATGAGAAAGTGGTATGATCCCGGGCTCAGAAGGGTCCAAAATTATGTCATCGGGCGTTTTTATGGGCAAGATTTGCCAGGAGCTTCGATCGTCATTTTCGAATTTCTGGGGAGAATAGGGTAAACCGGACCAGGAGAGCAAAGTGGAACGATCGAAAATTTCGTTGTCCAAGGGTCAAACAGCCTCGAGGTTCAAATGAGAAAAAAGATCAAGAATCAAATTTCGAGATCAAATTTTGAGAGAAAAAATTAGTTCTGTCGAAAAATTATGTTCCCCTGAAGAGGAACTACATTCGTTCTACAGAGAATTATATGAGGCTCCGGTTTTATCAAGTGAATCTTATTGAGTTGTGTATATCTTTGTCCCATAAACACTTATAATTTCCATGGAATAAATGATAATTTCAAGGGGAAACTACAATTTTCTTTCCGAAAACTGTGTCATTGACAAAACTAAATAATTTCGAGGGGAGAATTTTTTTCGGAAAAACATATTCTTTCCTCGTCAATGTATTCTTTCTATGGTATAAACCTATGGAGTTCTCTCACATGAAATGATTGTCATACAATAGATTATATTTTTTCCTGCTAACAGTTCGAATTCTTCTAGGGATTTTTCTGATGATCACGACAAAAATTTAATTTTTGTGAAAGATATTGAATTTCATTCTATCAAGTTGGTCAATTTCCCTCAAGTAAATCTGTTCCACGTAATCAAATATTCTCCCGTGGAACACATAGTTTTAATGTTTTCTCTCACTGTAATAAAATTTCTCTCAACATCATGACGCATTCCACACAAAAAAAATCAACCGATATCTGTCAAGAACTGTCTCACTAGAAGCCAACCATTAATACTCCCCACCCCACATGAAATAATCCCAAAAGTCCGACTGGCCCACGGTAAAACGCCGCATTTTATTTTCATAAACAAAAAACACCGCTGAGCTGACGTAACCGGAGACATGGAAAAATCCCCTCTGAAAGTCGTCGTGTACTCCGTTATCCCCGATATGTGCGCCCGATGTATCCATCTTCATACGAAAAAAATTCAAAACTCCCTCTCGCATCGAGTTTCTTGACAAGAGCGAAAAAGTTTGCCTGCATTTTTTATTTTTCCCTCCCGCCAGTCTCATTCGTTTCATTTTGTCTTCAACGACATTGTTCACGAGTCGAGATAGTTTTTATGAAAATTCCGTGCACCCTTTTTTTTCAGTATCAAACTCGAGACTCGCGGGGTCTGTTGGACCGCGGCAAGTCATGACGTGATACCGGGAGGAGTCACTGGTGAAATACATAATGAAATAAAGCTTGAAAGATATAAGGAGAGTAATAAGGGAGGAAACACGTGCTGCTCAGGCTCTCGTGTGCTCTGATGTATATTGCATTCTTCTCGGTTTTCTATTATTTATTCCTTCGCGTGTTATTCATTCCCTTCTGCGGGGGGGGGGAGGGGAATTTTATTCGCATTGTCTGGGGTATCCCCTATTTTTGAAGAGTAATCTTCTTTTTTTTAGAGAGAAGTATTGTGCGTTGAGATGATGGTATGGTATGGGTATAGTCCCGATTCTTTTTTTTTTTTTTTTTTTTTTTTACGGCCTCGGAGTCCCTTTTTGGATTCCATTCGGCACTCTATCCAACCCTATGCATGCGGCTGTGGATTCTACACTGTACCGCATTCGCACTCCTATGGA